CCCCGCGGCCGCTGGACATCTGTATCGAGCGTGCCGAGTGCCGCGTGGCCGCGACCCGTGGTTCGACCCGAGGCGAGGCGGGATCCGTGCCGCGCGCCAGCCAGGTTGTATCATCTGTGAGGAAAAGCCTTTGCGAATGCAAACACTGAACCGAGTCGGCCAGGCGTCTGGCCCGGCGAGGCTGAGCAGTCGCCCGGGTCTGGCTGTGGAGGGTGAGCGGCCCGCTGCTGCGAAGGAGAAGGGGATCTTTGCATGACACCCCCATACAATGCAAATGCGCCCCCACCTTCCGGGCGACACGCGACCTACCTTAGGCTATGGCAGGAGGAAGGTTGCCCCGCACAGCAGCCCCGCGCTAAGTCATCTGTTATTAAATGCAATCAGTGATAATTACATTAACCACCATAATTAACCGTTGCAACAGCCACAATTACACTTTTTTCCTTCCATGTTTTTTCTGTTTTTCCCTTGAGTCTTACACAGTAATCAAATGGCTTTTAGAACAGAAATGTGATGCGCGTCCCTCTAGAAGGGCGCTCTGGCAGGAGTTTGTTTCCAGGGCGTCGCCTCCTGGCGGCGGGGTTGGCTCAGCGGCTCTCCTGCACAGGCCGTGGGCCCCCTCCGCCCCCCAGACACAAAGCCACAAAGCCAGGCCAGGGGTGTGGCCCCGCGTGGCCGAGCCTCCCCGCTGGGAGATGAGCGAGAAGGCGAAATCTCCTCTGGAGCAACAAACCGAGGTGCCAGTCCCCGCCAGCAGCTGGCTACTGGGGCCATCGCGGGTCAAGCAGGTGCTGGCCGTGGCGCTCGGCACAAGAGCAGCTGCCGGTCATCGCTGCCCACGGGGGAGGACACCCTGGGCCACCCCCACCGCTAAGGCCCGAGGCCGGCACCCCCTCGGCGCCCCCTGGCCGGCCCCCGGCCCCAGGCCCTGCCCGCAGTGGGGCAGCTCTGGGCAATCTGACCCTGGGCGTTTGCGGTTTCAGGCTGCCGGAGGCCCAGGGCCAGCCCCGAGCACCTCACCCGCACCCCGGTCTCCAGATTCCCACTCAGAGCCCAGGGTTGGGGCTGGGAAGCCCTCTCCGAGGCACTTGGACTCAACTGGGTTTGGAGTGTTAACGGGGAGAAACGTTTGGCGTTTATGGGGCCTTTTCATGGGTAGACTCAAGAAATGGCCCAGAGCGGGGGCGGGGCTCCCCGGGGGAGCAGGCCCAGCAGTCAGGGCCCGCTGACCGGCGTGTCCACCTCTGTGAGCCTGGACAGGGCTCAAGCCCCTGTGAGCCGAGAACTCGTCCCGGGGCGAGTGGACACCATGGGACGCGGCCTCTCCGGGACGACAGACACAGCAGAGGGGCGACATCTGGGCGGGACCCCAGCCGGTGCCCCTCGGGCAGACTCGGGGCGCAGGAGCCGCCGCTTCCCTGTGGCTGCAGCTCTTTGCACCGCTGTTCTCTGGGGCCACAGACCCTGCCCGGGCTGCTCTCCTGGCCCCGTCCCTCTGCCCACGCCCACTCATGCCCAGCCACGCGCACCAGCCACCGCCCCCCCTTTCCTTCTGTAGCTGCTCAAACTTCTGAACTTTGGAAACCGGTGGCCAGAGAGGGCCCTCGGCGGGCCGCCACCTGCCCGGCCAGCCTGCGTGGGCTCGCCCCCGGGGCTGGCACGGCC